AAAATGAAATGAAATATAAATACTGACCTTCAGTTTCAATTTAAATTAGCCTAAAACTCTTCAATTGACCTATTTTGTGTAGAGTTTATGCCTTTAAAATAATCTATGAAAGACTGCTAGATTTTAGAATTGATCTTATTTCGCTTTTAGGTAAAGTCTGATTTTCTCCCGTTCTAAATGTTTTTTTTAAATCCCTTATTAGATGTACATACAGTTGAAGTCAGAATTATGAACCCCCTTTTGATTTTTTTTTTCTTTTTTAAATATTTCCTAAATTATGTTTAATACAGCAAGGAAATTTTCACAGTATGTCTGATAATATTTTTTCTTCTGGAGAAAGTCTTATTTATTTTCTTTCGGCTAGAATAAAAGCAGTTTTAATTTTTTTCTGAATCATTTATTATTAGCCCCTTTAAGGAATTTGTTTTTCAGACTTATCTACAGAACAAACCATTATTATACACTTACCTAATTACTCTTACTATAGAGTCTACTTAACCTAATTAACCTAGTTAAGCCTTTAAATGTCACTTTAAGCTGTGTAGAAGTGTCTTGAAAAATATCAAGTAAAATATTATTTACTGTCATCATGACAAAGATAAAATAAAACAGTTATTAGAAACGAGTTATTAAAACTATTACGTTTAGAAATGTGTTGAAAAAATCTTCTCTCCATTAAACAAAAAATTAGGGAACAAAATAAACGGGGCGATTAATTCAGGAGGGCTAATAATTTCGACTTTAACTGTATGTAGAAGCAGCTTTCTGTTTCCAGTTTAATAATATTAACCTTCATTCTAGACTGAAGATTTAACTATATTTTAATCTGTACTGTTTTAACTTACTATACTGTATCTATATAAAGCAAAACTATTTTTATGGAATATTGGCATATTTATTATAAGTGATTTATCTGTGCACAATTGTTTACTGAATTATTGCTCACGAAATGCTGTACAGAGTATAATAAATCATGAAAATAATTGAATTTTTTTTTCATATAAACATGATCAAATAAATAATCAAACGAACTGCCCATGTTAATAATAACACTACTGCCCTGTTTGACTAACACAGAATATGGGTTATTTACAGTACATGGATTTGTGAAGGGAGTATTGTCATTTATGCTTACCCATACTCGAAACTGGGTGTTTTTTTTTGACCCATCTTAGTGCACACATATGAGTGAGAAGTTAGAGCACACACAAACACGCATACACACCCGGAGCAGTAGGTAGCTATTAGGAGTTATGTGCCTTGCTCAACTCCACACTTTATATAACAACCCAGCAGACACAGGACTTGACGAGGGTCAGATTGACGTTTTACCCCAACGTCATGGGATGTTGCATTTTGGGTGGAAATGAATATCGGGTTGATGTCAGAACCCATCATACAGATGTTGGATTTTGGTCACTTTCCAGCGCAACCTACAAACAACCAAATATCAACGTCTAATGATGTCACAGCTTGACGTTGTGTGGACGTTGCCACTATAACGTCTATCAGGCGTTGGATTTTGGTTGCCATACCTGATGAATAAATGTCAGTATTTGATGTCAATATGACAGTGGCTCAAGGTGTTGGTTCGACGTTGGATTTTGGTCACTTTTCAACACAACCTAAAATCAATCAAATATCACCATCATTTGACATCGTTATTGGACATCAAAATAACGTTGCCCTTAGACGCTGGCTAGACATTGAATTTTGGTCACCCAACATCACAACCTAAATCTAACCTAATATTAACGTCTATGACATTGTATGCCTGCTGGGAAGTCCAACTCTCTAACCATTAGTCCAACTGTCCCTAATTTTGCTATTGTATAAAACAAGTTTATTTTCATTCTGGTTTTAGAAGTGTCTGCAGGTTTACAAAGTCTCTAGTTGGCATTTTGTTTGTTTCCGCTCTGGTGGTTGAGTAAATGCGAAGAAAATATGTTGGCTTTAAACAATAAATTTGTTTATGCTTTCTCTTAAAGCTTAATCTTTTCTTGTAACGAGAACCAGATTAACCCTGCTTGCACAGACTGCAAATTAAGACCCAGACCTTAAAAAAAGCACTCTTAATTCATAGGCACGCAAAGCAATCACAACAACCAGACTCGCCTCACGTTGTGATGAGCATCGACCTCAAGCGGGCACTTCCATGATGTTTTTCTTTTCCTTTTGCAGTCTAATTTATTTTGACCTTTTGTATTATCATCTCTTGAATTGTCTGGTTATGTCTTTTTTATTTTGTAGTTTTGTTTTTATTGTAAAAACTGAAACAGCATGCGTTGGCAGTCTGTGCAGTCTCATTAAAAGAGTTAATTTATTACATGGTTGTGCTGCTCCATAAATGCCGATGCTATGGCTAGCATTAAATCGTTTATATGCCCCTTTTGTGACTTTCTTAATGACATAATGATCTCATTAGGCAAGAATCATAGGTTTATGTTTATGAAAAGCTTAGGGTTAAGCACTAAGGGTAATTTCCCCTCTGTGGATTAAAAAAAAAATACTTTTCAAAACATTGATGCTCTCAGTGCAGACCAATGAATGTTCATGTGTTTGCTGAAATTCCGTGCGGTTATATCTAATCCAAAGAAAACACACAATGACCCACTAAACTATGGGTCCTATGTGATCAGCCACTAAAAATATTCAGTACGTGTCTGCTAACACTTTACTAGGATGGACCTCCAACAGACTAAACAACAAAGAGTAGCCAATTAAATATGAATTAAATGTTCTTTTTTTATAGTAAAATAAAATGTAAATTCCATAATAAGCTTTATTTTTATTGTTTTGGTAAAGGGATAGTTCATTTAAAACTGAAGATTCTGTCTTTATTTACTCATCCTTCACTTGTCACAAACCTATTTGGCTTTTTTTTCTGTTGAACACAAAAGATATTCTGAGGAACGTGTAATCCTGTAACCACTAGCTTTCATAGCAGTTGTTTTTCATACTATGGAAGTTACCGGTTAAAGTTTTTCAGCTTTCTTTCGCATATCTTCATTCAAGAGTTCACACTTGGCTGATGATTAATTATGAGCTACTTTGGCATGCTGTCCCGGGAGAGAGCCATGAGCTCATAAGATCTGATAAAAATCCTAACGGGTGTGCAACAATCAGGTTTTGGAAGTATTTTCTCAATAGGAATCAGATTTTTAACAATAACTGATACAGAGCTCGAAATTAACCTTTTTATTTGGTAGCACCGATGCTCCCAACTTAGTAAATTTAGGAGCACCAGAAAAAATTTAGGAGCATGGACGAAAATGAGTAAGCGCCACTGCAAATTGTATACAGTAATAACGAATTTATTGTATTTGAAAATAACATCAATCAGGACTAACAAAAAACAGAAACATCTATTTATCTAATGATGTGACAACTTTAATAATATTTGCACAAAAATTCCAAAATGAATGTCCAATAACTATAAAGTATCAATGACGTCGATGATAACAATATTAGTAACAATGAATTACATTTCTCATGCCTTGAATGTGCTTGAATGAGATGTCCTATAAAAAGTCCTTCTGTTACATTATGAAGCATAAATCTATGATTTCCATCAAATAAAAATGAAGCATTGCAGTAGGAAATATACTTTTTGCACTATTCTTTTTATATGCATGTCAATTTGTACACGTGCACAGTCAGGGAAACTGCACATTCTACATGCAGTCTCGTTGAGCAGGGCAGGGCAGAGCAGGATTCTTGCGATGACCACCCAGACTATACCGTTTTGTCATGAGCTGCAGTTTCGGTTAAAACTTAGTAAAGTCAAGGACTATGGAATATACTCCCTATCAGCACGGTTAATTTTGGATTCATTTTTGGCCGCATATAGGACCAAAATGGTCACAATTTCGAGCCCTGTGATTTAACTTTAAGCTAGGAAGCAAAATATCATATCTTCAGGATTTTTTTTTTTTCATGAAAATTTTTCACAAAGATTTCACAATTGTAAATAGCATTTTGCTTTTATTATCAGTCTCAAAACAAAAGAAGAGCACAGTCTTATACTGTCCCCTTGTTCTTTTGTCTGATTTTCACATACTTTACTTCAAATTAAAGGTTGCAATGTTGTGATTCACAAACTTAGCTGATTAACTCATGGCTTAAAATACTAATTACTCTCTGGAGAAGTATACAAAAAAGGTTTTTGCTGAGATTGAATTCAGAGTTTGTTTTACTTTTACTTATTTAATTCACATTCTCCATTGAACACAGGGAAATGTGGTCTAGCAATTGCCAGCACAATCCCCTGCACCGGAGTAATGAAGTGAAGCATCGTCTCATGTGTATTCTGAAGTTTCTTCCCACATTATTTAGCATAGTCCCTCTGGAACACATTGGAGCCTGATGAAACGTGAATCCTGACTGTTAGATCACACCTTCATGTAGAAAAATTCAAGCTCCAGATGTGTTACCCTACTCCGCTGAATATTACTTTGTGCTTTTGGACATACTTGATGTCCTTTTAGTCATCACAGTGCTCCAGAAGATGATTAGTGTCTGTTAAATGAATATTTACATACTGAAAGAGGTGATGTCTACAGAGAGAGCCAAAAGTAGCCCTGGAAATGAAAAACTGATTGTAAACAGATCTACTGGAGGACTGATGACCCTTTTGATTTTCATGCCAAAGGCTTAGCTTTCCTAAATGTTTTGTTTCCAGGTACCCCTTTCTGACTGGTCAAGTGAAATGTGAATATTGTGGTATAAACACAATACAAATGTGTCCATAATAATAGCAATAGGTATTTATAATATATGGTATTGAGTCTAAATATATCTATGTGCTCTCTTAATATGCTTAACAGACAATGAAGTGTATTCTAATGAATAAATATTTAAATTGAAACATAAAGGCCAAAAATAGGCCTTATAGTGTTGCATATGTTATTCACAAGTGACTGCAAACTGTAAACTATTTTAACTAGGCATAAATATAAACTAATTTATGTTTTCGTTTTTTGTTTTTTTATCTCTGTCAGGTGTGTTCGCCGCTATGAGAGCCATGTTAACCGCTGTCTTCACTGCACTGCAGCCTTTTCACCCTGCGGCCGCTTCATCGCTACTGGCTCAGAGGACCATTCTGTGAGTAGATTTAATACACCTCCTGTTACAATGTTCTTGTCTTGGTTTCTTTCAGCTTGTCTTCTCCTTGTGTTTATTGCGACTAGCCTCCCTGTGTTTTAGTGGAGTGTTTTATGGTGTCGTGATAAGCACGAGGTGTAATAGAATTCAAAAGGCCAGTAATTCATCATTCCCCCTACAATATTCACAAGCTTAGTATAGAATGTACTGTGTGGTCGTAAAGCAGATATCACGAGCTTGTGTGTCTTGACATTCAGGACCGCAGATACCACATTTTTCACATTTTAGATTAAACAGCATTTCAAATAGCTTTTAAACCTCATAGTGAGTAATACGGACACAAGCTTTTTAATTTCTTAATAAATGGATGGGTTGACGGATAGATTTATAGACTATTTAATTGATTGATTGATTGATTGATTGATTGATTGATTGATTGATTGGTTGGTTGGTTGGTTGGTTGGTTGGTTGGTTGGTGGATGGATGGATGGATAGAAAGAAAGAAAATTCATAGATTGGTTGGTTGGTTGGTTGGTTGGTTGGTTGGTTGGTTGGTTGGTTGGTTGGTTGCATGGATGGAGGGATGGATGGAGGGATGGGTGGAAGGATGGATGAATGAAAAAAATTTACTGATAAATGAATATACTTATCGGTTGGTTGGTTGGTGGATGATGGATGGATGGATGGATGGATGGATAAAAATGGACTGATAAATGGATATACTTGTAGGTTGGTTGGTTGATAGATAGATGGATAGAATATTGATTATTAAATAGATAGACTTTATGGTTGGTTGGTTGGATGGATGGATGGATATAAAATTGATTGATAAATGGATAGACTCACTGATTGGCTGGTTGGTGGATGATGAATGGATAGATGACAAGAAAATTGATTGATAAGTGGATAGACTTATTGATTGGTTAGATGGATGAATAGAAAATTGATTGATTGGTTGATTAGTTGGTTGGTTAATTGATTGGTTGATTGGTTGATTGATTGGTTGGTTGATTGGTTGATTGATTGATTGACAAATAAATGGATAGACAGACAAAGACAGACAGACAGGTTTTCTCCATTTTGCTACTACTCTTTTTCCATTGACCTCTTTATTTTTCCTTTTCTGAGTCTTATCATATCCAGCAGCTGCATCACATTTACTTCAGAGCTCCTCCATGTCTTGCGTCCTTTGCCAGAATTGTCAAAACAATTCAGTCATATGAGAAAAACACTGGGATATCCATACTTCCACGGTGTTCTGTTGTTAAAAGGGCTCTGTGACCTTGGAAAAAAAGAGTGGATGTTACAATACTCAATTCCATGACAAATGACTTGTGATATTGGGTTTTAGATCACGCAAATGCTCACAAATGACCTAGATTTAGGAATTCACCAAGAAATATTTTGAATTTGGCACTATTTGTAGGTCACTAATGAAATAAAATATGATAAGTTTCAAATACAATTGATTATATGAATGTGTTTGTACAGATGGTTAGATTCAGTGAATGCCTAGATGATGTGTCTGCTTATTGTAAAATCATCAGTTTGCCACCATTTATATATTTCTCTCTAATAATCACAATCAAAAACTTGAATAAACTGTTTATTTTGGTCTTTACGAATCAATTAAATGACTTTTCCATATGTGTCACTTTGCCATTTGCTCCCTCAGTGTAGGAGGACTGCCATCACTGCTCTGTTTGTGTATGTGTGTTTAGACTTTGCTCAAGTCAGTGGAATAATATATGCGCGTTGATAGCTATTATTAATCGCCAGCACTGGGTAAAGCAGGATAGTTTTGAGAAGATCTCTCTCCACAGCACCGCCTGCTTTCCAGTGTTTCTTGGAAGCCGAGCTGAGACAACAGTAGTGAGCTACTATGCTGTTATTTGTGGCTGTCGTGAGACATCCATAATCCAGATGAATTTGTTGATACATTCTGTATTTCACTAGACAATCAAAAAAAAGTGAACCCCATCTCCCCATAATTTCATTAATACCAAGCCACATTATTTTTAAGCCATAAGCAACAAATATAATTATGATAAACAACAAATGATTGATTTTGACCACATTTAGGACTGAGGACATGGAAAGTATGGTAGCTTGTGCTATTTTCCTAAACTTTTAACCATCTGTGTTGACATTACTCATCAGAAGCAGTTTAAGAGGATAGTTTACCCAAAACATAAAACAAAAACTCCTGTCATCAATTCCCCATCTTTATGTCATTGTGGCTTTCTTCTATGGAGGAAAAAGAATATTAATAATAATTGTCCAAACCAAGAAATTTGAATCTACGTAAGTAAGAAAAATATGATAAACTGGAAAATTGCTGATAAGACCATTCAATAAGTGACTTTTTTTAATGTTTCAGTTAATCTGTGAACCTTGTAGATTTATAAAATGGCTACCAGAGAGTAGGAAAAAACATATACAGGAAAAAAATATATTATTATTTTGATACATTCTTATAAAGCAAAATGATCAGTCTGTGCAAAAAAACAACAATATTGCTTGATGCATTGTTGGCATTACTGTAGGTCTTGTTTAAAGTGTCTGCAGTGTATCTGTTGACCTTTCAGTGTCACATGTGAAGATAATCAAGTTAAAGTTGATTTAGAAATTATTGTAGATAAGGACATCTGCTGAATACCTTAAATATACACGTAATTAGATGTTGCAAAAAGCTGTTAGTAATCTCTGGCTTCTTTCTGGCACTCAGACTTCCACAGAACACCCTTAGTGTGTTTAACAGGCCTGAATAAATAACATATGAAGGGACGCAAACAGTCTGCTTGGGTAAAAGCTTAATCGCTTAAATTGTAGAAAAAATGCCCTACTCTTTAAAAGTTTGCAGTTGTAGATTTTGTTTAGATTGTTATTAAAAGAAGTCCTATTCTAACCCAGACTACATTTATTTAAAAATAAATACAGTACAATTATTCTACTAAATATTTTACTGTAAATACAACTTTAGGATTGTTTGATGAATTCAGAGTTTACAGTAAATGTGTTTAATTTACAAAAATCTTTATAAAAATAAAAAAATTATATATTTACTGTGAGTTTAATGTATTCTTGTAAGAATTCCTTTAAATAAATCATACTGACCCCAAACTTTTGATCAAATCGAAATGACTGTTTGAATTTTGCATATTTGCTGATCTTTTGGCATTTTTAGACACTTTTGCCAAAAATATATGTCAAAATGCTGTTAGGTAAATTTTATATTTATTAAATCTGTCCCTCTTTAACAGTTAACAGTTAGAAATATGTAAGTTTTTTTTTTTTTTGTCATGTTCTGTGTTTCAAATTGTAAGTCTTTGTTATTATCTGGATAGTTGATATTTCACTCTGTTCAAACCACAGATTCTTTATTGCACAAGGTATTATTGATTGGACAAACACAGGATATGGCATGAGGTAACATTTGGCCTCATCACCATATTTTACTGCTTCTCTCAGACCCTTCAGCTAAATTAAATGTATAAAAGTATCTGTGATTGTGTGAATATGTGATAAGGCAAGCAGTTTAGTTAGTATGGTTAATTAATTTGTTTTATGTTCTATTTTGAGACTTTGTTCTTTCTTCCAGGCCTATATATATGACACACGCAGCAGCATTTTTCTCCATAAACTCCAGAGACACTCTGAAACTGTCCTGAATGTGGCTTTCAACCCTGCCAAGCCAGAGGTAAAAACGTATTCAATTCTAAAACCACAATTTTTAATTAACAGTTTTCACGAATTTCCCATTGCTTGTCACATCTGGGTTAAAGGGTGAATATGAGATTAGCAGAGAACATTTATTTGCACATTAAACTTTTATTGAAGCAAATGAGAGTAATTTAACAAGAACCAGGGGTGATAGCGTTCCGGCACCACGCCGGATTTCCGGCGTACTGTGGCTGCGGGGAAAAAAATCAGGTTCACGGATATTGATCTGTCATTTCTCTAGATTCACATAATTCACTCACTGCTACTGATTATTTGTGTAATTTAGAGAGCTTTATAAATTATAACGGATCTTTGTGAGATCTCTATGAACTAAGATTAGTGACGCTTTTTAGTGATAATAAGAGGAGCGTGCTTTGCACTTTCCAGGCTATAATCCATTCAGAATTTGTATGAAACTTTCGTTTTCGGCACATATACGCTGATATGTTTTGGGAATGACATCTGCATATTTACGCTGGGTTTATTCTCGAAATAACGGTGAAGAAATAGACGGGACAAAAATATATTTCCCCCTTCTCCTTAAACAACTTAGTGTTTCAGCTATGAAAGAGTTCAGTTTTGTATGTAGCCTAATGGCAAAGTGTTTATATTTAGTTTCGTTTTTTATTCGGCTTATTTAGAAAAACGTTTGGAGCATTTTTTATTCGTTAAAAATAAGTTTTTTTTTAACGAACAGCACCCAGCGGAAGACCATCATTGTCTGTTTGATCAGTTTGCCTTCTCAGATCATCACCACTTGCCTAAAATAAAAGATATAAAACAGTTCAAGTATAAAACAATGGCAGCTTAAACGTTAAAAAATGTGTGCTATTAGGCGCATAGTTTGCTTATAAAAAGCTTGCAGGACATCGAGGCGCCAGAGCAATCACTTGCATTTTTTCAGGGGGAGCAATTTAAAGTTATCCGTCATTTTTGCTCACAAAGTACGAGTAATACATCAAAAAACGTTACAGCGTTTTTATAAAATAAAGAAAACCAAAATTATGCGCTTTCTGTCGTCTGGTTTTTGAACAGGAGCGCTTAACAAAATGAAGCAAAATGTATATGCCTCACAGACATAATAAATATATTTATAGAAAGCTTTAAATTATTACTTAACGAAATAAAACAAATCGAAAACAAAAAAACTCCTTCATGTAATCCGTAAAGATGAATTTCTAAAGGCGAGTCCAAGAGGAGATTGCCAGTCAGGATCTTTGCGACACTGACTCAGAATAAGTTTATTCATAAATAATTAAGATATGTCCTTACTCTTTCCTCGACACATTCATTGTTATTTGTTTTTGCCGGTGCTTGGGGCGAGTTTTAGCTTATTGTGTGCGCTTGAACGCGGATTCACAGTAGCAGTTTTAACATGGAGTGACACGACATCTGACGTACAGATGACACTGGCACATGCCACTGTAGTGACACTTCCAGTGGCATGTCCGTTTTTCCACTGTCTTGTGTCACTCGCTAGTGGCATGTCTAGTGACCTGTGTCACTCAGAGTGTCGCGCTGCATGTCACTGCAGTGACATCGACACCCGGCGAAGCTTATGACATTAATTAACACGAGCAAAACCATATTTAATCATTAAGCGACATTTAACCTAATTTATCGCGTCGCAAGTTAGTTTATTTGCTGAGCTACTCCACGATGTTTTAATTTAAACGCATTTATTTTATGTATTTGTAGTCATACTTCCGTACGTAATATAGTCATTTGACAGTACATGTCAGTCAAATTTATTGTGGCATGCTTATGTATGGGAGGGGTTACACTTATCTGTTGTACTGTATATTATTGCATCCTGGCAGTTTCTTTGTTCCCTACAATATGGACTTCTCTATGTTTTTAATTCATTCATTTATTTTATTATTTAACTTATTTTCATTTTAAGGTATTTTAAATAATATCCTTTAAAAAGTTATAATAAAATGCATGTTGAAAACTCATAACATATATGCATGTAAGATAACAGGTGTCATTTGCCTAATGATTTTTAAATATTAAAGCAAAGAGACTTATAAGATTAATGTGCTTATAACGTGCTTATACTGACACCTACTGGCACATGTCACAAGATCACTGACACTGGCATGTGTCACTGACATTACTGGCATGTGTCTAAAAAGAGCCACTTGACAATAATGATGATCAGGGTTACACATAGCCTGTAAATATATTTGGGCCCAGGGGCCCACAAGTTATGTGTTAAAAGTGCGTTGCATACATAGTACCCCCACCCCTACTCACCTCAGGGGCAAGGAAAAAAAGTTCAGGCTCAGGAATTTTTTCCACTATCAGCCCTGTAATTGACCAATATGCATAAACGATACCAGCCAAAGAACAAAATAAAAATCAGGTATATATACAATACAATATATGTAGGCATGTAAGAATGTACAAACAAAACTAATTACCTAAATAATGAACTGATTGGTCACCATGGACACAAATGAAAGCATACTTTAGAATTAGAAACTATTACAACAAACAAGGGAAAACACACTTATTCCATGGTCTGTAGAAATCTCTTATTGATTTTTTAATGCACAAGTAGTTCCAGTCAGTTTTTTTTCACTGTTTAAAATAAATGTGTGACTCTCAAACATTAGTAACCATAGTAACTCACTGACAGTTGTGGGAGCCTTCATTACATGAAATCTTAAGGACACAGACGCGTGATTCAACAGGAACCGATGTGTATCAACCAACTCACTAATGTACTTAATGCTAATTGCAAAGAGGTAGCTAATACTAAGAGCTATTGGACCCATGCCACACGAGGCACTTTAGAGACTGAAGTTAGAGACTGTGTCCTTTAGCATTCATGATTTTGCGCCTGCCTTCTATGCCCAAAATGCCAGTTCAAATACCACAAAGAGTATGGCGAGTAGAGCTGGGAAGTTTACACAAGCCCTATAAAAGCTGTTCTAAAACCAAGTGCTATACTGTTCATTACCTCTATCAGCTATCAGCAGTCAGTTATTTGCATTCTAACCATCACAATTCACTAATTTTGAAACTTTAAATAAGCAAAAGCTTGACACGGCACATAAATTGTGCTCTTTACACAACAGTTGTAGAAGTTTTGACTAATTATCAATATCAGTTATATTTGATATTAGACTATTTAGCAAAATAATCAATTTCAGTAACACTCAACATTTTTGGTAGTCTTCAGTTTAAATACAAAATAAAATTTTCATAATAATTTTTTTAGCCTTTTGTAGTGCGTTCTGGGATTGGCTTCCTAATCAAGGATATATCCTGTCTTTCAGTATGACACCATTTTCAATTAGGCCACTCATTTACATGAATATGGTACAATGTCTGTTGTTGAAAATCTTTGAATATGTCTTTCATTGTCTGTTATTCAAAACATTTGAAAATGTCCTTTAAAGAGACCCTGTTATGCATTATAAAAGGTCAAATTTTAGTTTTGGGGGTCTCCAACAACAGGCTGATAAGCATGCAAGGTCAGAAAACACTTTCATTGTCTTATAATATGCATTTATTTTTATCCCAATGACTCCCATATGATTTGTTTAGCGATTCATTTGTTCCAAGCCCCTCCTTTGTGGGATGGTAATTTACACTGATTAGTCTGATTAGAAGGAAAGAAATGGCCACCACGGTTATAAAGCAGCACAGGGTGAGAGCCCAATGCAGCAATACAATAAAGCAAGTTATACACCAGTATATTATTCTACTCTTAAGCCAAGCCCCAAGTAATAACAATGACACACATCAGTATTAATCCACACTGGGGCAAAAGTTGAACTATTTTGAAAATTGACTGCGCCATGCGTGTGAAGAAACATGTGATGGTGGCCATAGCAATGACAAATAGCAGGAGATTGAGAGCTCAGAAACACCTGTAATTCGGTAAAGGAAGAAGGATTGCGTGTTTAGCATGGTTTTGGACACAATGTTTACACATGTGAACAGTCCCATAAAGATTTAACCTGAGAGATACATTACAAGCCACACAGAGTGATTACAAGTTACAACACACAATTAAATACATATTTTGCAAACTACAGAAAACTAGGCAACCATTTTAATCACACTTATAGGTTGTGATCCGCAGGAAGAAGAAACTGATCCATACTGTATAAACTGTGTAACAGTTACTGACAAAATTTCTGTCCAAGTCCCATAAATTAATAGTCTTTGCTGATCCTTCTAGCGAATTCTGCATTTCAGGGTAGGTTATTGTATCAATCATCAGAAAAATGGCAGAAACAAGCACGGTTGGCTATACTATGGTATTTATACCTCTTTATTCCCCACAGCCAATTCAGGCCATCTCTTAGTGATCGTCATCTTCACATGATGATCAATCCCATGATCCCCTGCACTCTGCACATTTTACCGGATCCAGCACTTTATATTTGGCGAAGTCTCGTATTGACGTTTATGCGAAAAAAGATTTGAACATAAGATAAATCATTTATTCATATTATAATCAACTCTTTCATTTAAAAATCAATAGTTTTAGCATGGTGCACTTTCAGATTTAAACCTCAGCTGGATATATTTTTATTCACTTAGATCTTTGTTACACACTGCATGGAAGGCCATTTTCAAAAACCCATAATAGGGGCTCTTTAAATTACACCTTTTTGAACCAAAACTGCAAAACTACCACACTAACTTGGGTCATTCTGATAAAGTTATCATCTGTACAAGAAACACAAATATGTACGTAAATTTCCATTGTCATGTAAACATAGCCTTTATTATAAATTATTGCAAAATTTTGCAGTTAAAAAATCCCAGTGTCAGTAACACACACCACAAAATGACTTTCCAAACAAGCAGCTTTCTGTTGGTAATAGCCTGAAATTCAATCTAGTGTTAAATTAATAAAGAGAAATTGTGAATCCCACTCGTGTGGATTCCATTTTTAATTTGACTAGATTATGTTTTTTTTTTTTTTTTTAATTGACCAAGCAGTTCTAACCA